AATTTAACTAAACCAAACATTTACAAATTTCACCCATTTTCTTGACAAATCAATTGCTGTGCCCGAAGAAATTCCTCGTTGGGGTTTCCCAGAATAATTAGCCTTCGATAGGCACTTGAGGTGCCTCAGTTAGCCTACTACGTGAGGGGGTAAACATTGTATTCCCCATAAACTTATTTCAATATTGTTTATGGACTAATTAAGCCTAAATTGTATAAATATTTGTCAAGTGTCGCTTAACTTCAAAAATATCGCCATTCACACTCGTCGCTGTCATTCGACAAAGAACTCTTCTGCCTCGACTGGTTCGTGGCGGAGCGTTGTAGACTTCTTGTCTATGTGTCCGGTTGTCATGACACATGGCGATGGTAGACACTGAATGTCTGAATGATACCAGGAACCACTTGCACCCTTTCCAACCCGCTCGCCGGTACACGGTACCTTGGCCATCACATTCATTCATGAATGGCTGCACTGCCGTAATTCTGCCACAAAAAGGAAGTTAATGATATGTCAACATTGTTCGACAAATAACAATTACATGTACCACGTAATACATTGAGAACTTAATACGACGGCAACAACATCTCCCAATGAAAGGCCACTTTTCCAAATTATGATGTCAAATACGTGCGACGCTTTAGAAAGCGCTTTGTTCTGTTCTGTTCTGTTTTATGGTTAAATAGATAAGTTTGGTTTTGCCAGTGCCCACATTCGAATGGTAAAGATTCACTAGTCGATTGCTCAGGAAAATATAGTTCCCACGCCTTTTATCTGTGTGGCCCAATTGATGTTAAAATAATTCCGGAACATGTGTTTTTATTGGACGAACTTCTTGGAAAAGATGTTGACAATTACGATATGTTCCTATCTCAATTAGTGGGCCATAAAAAGGTTTACCTTGTGACAATTTCGTTTCTAACGCTATACGAACTTTACATGCAAAGTGCGAATGTTATCAATGCCGAAACCTGATATCAATCGGATCTACTATTAATATTTGTGAGACGATTTTCAATTTGGAACCAGGTCAGCTAATGTATGTAATGTCTTGTAGCGAATATCATTGATTTCGGGAGGTATTACGGCTTTCAGATATGTTTAAACACAAAGCGGCTGCAACATATGTTACTATAAGATTTATAATTGTATATAAAAGATTATACGCAAAGCAGATCAACTAGGTAGTCGCATTACTCCAGCTGATGGCACAATTAAATGTCAGATTAGTTGTATTAAATTCACCCTTAAAGAATGTCATTGTAAAAGAATACATATGAATGCATCACAAAACTTGTTTTTGTCTCCATTCTCAAAATTGTCTTTCTGTAATATTTTCGTTTATTTTCCATTTTCTCGGTGCTTCTTTAAAATATAAAAGAATTTTATTACTTTTTTTTATTTTTCTGCCAATGAGTAAATAAATGAATTAACAAACATTTTGTTCCTGATTGGTTGAAGCAAATTTGCCGCAGTCAAGGCGAACTAATTATTCGACTTGGGCGCCAATTTCGTCATTTATTGGTACCACAAAAGTTGTTTTGTTGTAGCACCATGGAGCACAATAAACGTGAAATCGGGAGAAGATAAATGATATGATATCAGAACCCACCCACCAATTTCAAATTTAGTATGCGAAATTTCATCTAAATCGGACAATAAATGTAACACGTACTTTGCTTACAAAAAAATTCATGACCAGATGGACAATTCGACTCAGAACGCGATTCTATTAGGATCAGCAAAAGGAACTGTGTATCTATCTCGTTTCCCCTTGCAAAGACAAAGACATAAGATATCGTGTAGGGTATGATCATATTTCTCTTCAGAATTTCTTGGTCTGTCTGCCCTCTACTGATATTGGCGGCATTCTTTTGTGGCTCTTTTTTATTAAAATACAATAATGACTGACAATAAACCCCCAATTTGTCTCTATACTTATCAGTGCCTATTTTTTAGTGAATCACGCTGTCGCGAATTGTGGAAATTTTTTTGCTATTATCTCCGATATTATGTTTCAGTTCGAACTTGTTTGCAAACTGTCATAAAATGTTGTTTTATAATCTATATGCTTGCGATTGGTTTCAGTCTATTGTTTGCCGATTGAACTCGTATTTTGCTTTCAACAATTCATGGATGGATGTGCTGAGCCAAGTGGTCATAAACAGACTGAAGATCTTCAATATATTCTACAGCCCTACAAATAGCGACGGCATGTTAGAGCTGTCGACAAATTTTTTTTTTTTTTCTTTTTCTTCCGAAGCCCGTTGAACATGAAGACCTGAATTTATGATATATGTATCTCTTAAGATAATTTACCTATATTAAAATACATTGTGTTTAAAATATGCTATTATAAAAAATTCAAATATGTGTTCTCTTCATAACTTATTAGCATTAGAAAACACTTTTCATCACCTTAATATTTTCTTCATAAAATACGTATATGTTGGGGTTGCTTTTTAAAATTGTTCAAGTAATGCGTTAGATTTTAGCAATCGTTTTAAGAAGTGATATTTCAGCAGCTCTCTTAGAGACCCGTTTTTTTCACTATTGTGCTACTTTTGTGCCCCTTTTTCCATGGATACTTTTAAATCGGGCAAATAAGATGTCTTAGTTATTATCTAACACTATTGCTATGAACTTTGTCACTTCCTTTGAAAATAATTATTTTGGAGCATACAAAGTTCATATATTCTTGAACAGCTTAGAATTCCAACTGGATTGAAGCATGTCCGCCTGTATGCTGTAATTTATGTTACTAAAAAAGCTTTTGATATATTACAGTGTATATGGGGTGTTTTGTTTGCCCGAATTGTCTGTAATTGTGTATTTTTGGTTCCTTGAGGGAAAACTCTGCTTACCATGCATTGACATTATACCAGTATATTGGTATAGCTTTAGGTATATACAAAAGTTCGAAACTAATTGCATGGCTTTAGAGAGTGAAAAGTAAAAGTAAGTGCAATGAAATAAAGAAATATTGGATTTTCATTTATACCTGATAATATTTCGTACGCCTTGTGGTGGTATAAACATATAATCGAATTTATATAAGGCCTTCCTAACTTAATAGAAGTCTTCAATGATATGAAACAAAAATAAAATGCAAATGTTTTATAAAATATTTATATGTTATTTCAGCAATGTCATTAGCATATTAACAGAAACATTATTACCCCCAATCATTGAAACTAGCTGCGTTCACTTTCATTTTCAAAGTATATAATATCCCGTCTACCACAGAGTTGAGTAGGTTAAAACCTCATAGAGGTATTAAAAGTACATATTGTAAGTCGAAATCAAATAATCTCAAGTATATATAATGCAATGGGGTATTTCCATCAAGTTTCAAAATTATTAGGACAAAAATGAAATAAAAACTATGAAAAAGTGAAATGGAAAATGTTATAAAAGAGAAAAAAGTGATATGAAGAAAAAATTTAAATACAATATTTGTATACCCTATATAGCTTTGTCATTCCGTTTGTAACTCCTCGAAATATTATATAATAAACCCTACAAAGTGTATATATTCTGGATCAGCGTAAAATTCCGTCCGTCTATTGTAGTCACGCTACCTTTCCAACGAATTGAGATTTAAGGTTAAAATTTTGCATGCATGCATAGTTTACCAGTAGGCAGGTTAAGTTCGTAAATGGGCCATGCCGGTACACGTTTTCGTATAGCCCCCATATAACGATACATCCCGATAGTCGGTATTTTTATAATTTCAACAACATTATTCACCGGAATTGTAACAAATTTCGTATTTAAAATTCGCAATGGGTACTACAGACTATGACAAAAAAAATCATATGCTGGTTCACGTTTTCATATATCCCCCATATAACGTTACTTCCAGATATTCGATATTTTAATAATTTTAGCAACGTTATTCACTGGAACTGGAACTGTTTCAAATTTGAAGTTCGTTCGTAATGGGTATTACAGCATATGACAAAAAATTTCGTCTTTGTATAGTCCCCATATAACGGTTTTCAATGAGTTGGTTTGCAGATTTTTTTGAAAATCCTTCCAAATGGTGGAGGGTATTCAAAGTTCGGCCCGGCCGAATATAGCTGGGTTTTTACTTTTTTTCATTTCAAATTTTCATCGAACACGAATCCGGACTCAGAGCATCTTATTGATGTAGTAAATACAATTCTCCTGAAAAAGTCACTAAGTACCATCATTCAAAAAATCGAAAATAAATAAATGATATAAAAAGCAATTACATAAATTTGGCGCTCATTCATAATATTCTGAAAGTCATAGAAATGATGTTATGTTCCTCTTGTAATTTAAGCAATGAAAGATTATACCTCATCAATTCACTAAATACCATGAACATAAACAAGGCAATGAACGAAAAATACGCTTTTAAGCTAATCGTTGCCTGTGGACGCATTTTATCCCAAGTGGTTACAGTTTGAACTCGTAAGCTTCTCCATATTTACTTCATTTCAAAAATCCAGTCGCAATGATATGTATGTTTATATATTCCGACGGATATTTAATGTAAATAAAACGGCGAGTCTAATTTCTTTTGAAGTTAAATTTTGCATAACTTGATTAATTAATAATTAATTAATTAATTAATTAAACGGAGATATATCTCCACTCTGGACATCCACGCCAGAAAAAAATTGAGAGCCACATAACTCATTAATAAGTAATATAAACAAGCTGTTTGTTGCATTACTAAGAAGTCAATAACTTATTTGAGTCACTACCAGGTAATAGGTGTAATGTCAGATAGTAGAGAATTTGAGGCAAAAGAAAATAAAAACCATTACAAATTCTGATGTTTGTCATGTGTCTAAAATTACACCTCAGAAGGTCGCATGTTTAATCCCAATATCGGACATAACAAGTGAGTTGGAATTGAAAATGAATTTCATAGGTAGTGGGTAGTTATGATTACCAAAGAGCCCCATTTTAACCCATTAGTTTGTTATGCTAGGGACCCTTGATCTACATACAAAAAAAAATCTTACCTGCATTACCCAGTAATTTGTTGATGCTGCAAATTGATCACCAATTAAGATATCCGTATGCATTTAAGCGAATATTTTTACTTGGCTGTTGACTGGCGTAAATGGGAATTGATGTATCAAAACTAAATGGCTTGATATATCTTGCATTCATTAACTGTGAAGGGTAACTGGGATAACTTTTTCTATCACGTAAGGAATCACCCAAAAATTAATTAATTTTTTTACTCTTAGATTAAAACACTTTACAAATAATTCTTCAAATGGCACTTGAATTATTGCTAATTTAGAAGTTGTATTTATTATTGCATTGATTTGAGTTGTTTAGTTCAATTTAAGGCGATTTACAGAAGGAACTTCGCGCGAAATTGTTAACAACCATTTGATGACAAAGGCACATGTTCGTTCCAAAGGGAAGATAATCCATAAGCATAAGTATGTACATATAGGTAGGTAAGGCACTTTATGAATTAATTTTTAAACGTTACATTGCTTGTTATTTTTTGCTTTTACGGTCGCCCGATGCACTTGGCATGTTTTAGCGACGGCACTTTTTCTATTAGCAATGTACTCTTATTCCACTTTTCGGTCACATCAAACCCGATTGGTCTCTGTTGACATTTTCTTAAGGTGGCTTTCTTCACTCTTCTAAACAAATAAATAATCCCAAAAGCCAGAATTCATTCGGACTTGATTATATTTGTTATTCTCATTATCACTGGATTTTATTTTTTTTTTTCCAATTCAGACACTTTGAATACGAAATTCACAATCTGCTCGATAAACGCATTCCGCGCGCCGTTTCTTGTTTTGGTCTAGTTGGACCATTTGCCAGGGCTGGAACACTTACGCACTACTCCTAGTTTGTGCTTGTGTTTTGTTGTTGTTTTACTTGGTGTTCGGTGTTTACGTGTTGTGCTATCTTTCACTTCGCTTTCGACAATGTTTACCATTGGTAGTGGCTGAGTGTTCTGTTGGAGACGGATTCGTGTGAGTGCGCGCAATGACCGTGTTTCTTTCTTTCGTTGACGGTAACCGAGTTCAGACTGAATGGCTGGATAAGCAAAGGTTCAGCTTAGAGGTATACTGTGTTGATACCACACCACACCATCGCCTCGCCACCACTACCACTAACCGTGTTTGCTGCTCTGTGTTGTCTGGCGTTCGAAAGAGTCTCTGGGCACATTGGTGATCCCAGTGTGGATGGCTGGTTGGTGTGGACTCTGCTGATGGCTGAACGGATGGTTTGCTTTGTTTGAGACTCTTGTGCTAATGTACCACCATTCCATAGTTGGTATTTTGCTCCCTCAACTGTATCAGATACACACAGCTAACCATAAGCCACATGTGTCTATGTATGAGTATGTGTAGGTGTACATTTCAGTTACCAAACGAACAAACACAGGTGATGGGGAGAGCCACAACAATGTTACTCATACGTTCTTTGGTGTTCTCAGCGCATAGAGAGAACACAATCATAACATTCGCCGACTCTCTTATACGATCTCCAATTACGCCAAGGTGGTAACCGTAGCCATCGATTGTTGTTTTATTTTCTTCAGCTGATATGATTTCAGTTAAATTGGGTTTCCTCTCCCTCTCATTACTGTTGTTATCTTCATATTTCGTATAAGACAGTTTTGTGGTAGTGTTTGTGTGTGTGTGTTTGCTTGTTTTGGCTTGAATCTCTGATTGCCAATCAATGGCGATCGATACTTTAGCGAGTGAGGAATGCCCATAGAACATGTTAAGTTATGAATGAAATACATATGGACGAAAATTATGTTTATACATACATATGTACGTTTTACGTTACATCGAGTTGGCTTTATTTTAACTAAAAATGTCTTTAAATCTTAAAGTTGTAAACTTAACTTTAAAGTTACTTTTCCGAAAGTAAAAAAAAAAAACAAAAAATAGTTTTTTTTTTTAGAAATTACAGGTTGGACGTTATGTCTCGTATTAAAATCCGCAAGTGAATAGAATAAAAGTTTTGAATTTTGAATGTTTTAAACCTAAATAAGCACTACAAAACATGCTTTAGATCGTTTTTATGAATATTTCTAATAATAGCTTTTACATTTTATTTCATACTATATGGAATATAGGTTCATTTGTTGTACCTACGCCCCCTAAAAAGTAGTAGGTACAAGGGAATATAGGCGTTAGAGCCTCCAATTCGGCGTACTTCGTCGTCGTTATTTAAAATACAAGTTAAATATATATTTATATGAATATGTCTACAATACGTCGATCGTATGAAATTTCAAAGTTAAACATTTTCAACATTGACAGAACATACTTTTTTTGTGCGTTGATAATAAAAACGAAAAAGTATTAAAATGGGTTGTATTTAAAGTGATATATATTTTTACATCGTTATTATTTTGCAGATTTTAAAATATGGACCTGGCGTTATTGGTAAATTCGGTAGTACAAAACATTTTACCATAATAGGGAAGTTGAATATATATTATTGTATGCTTCGCTGTTATTGGCAAACCAAACAAGAAAATTTTATTCTGCCTTATTTATCAATTGGATTGAGAAAGTGATCATAAAAAATTGAGAACATATCATAAAATTGAACTACGGAGTCTTCGTCTAATTTTACACACTACAAACAAAGAACCCTTGAAAATTCAATATACCATTTGTTAAATTGTTGAAATTTTACATAGTTCTCAATAAAAACATCATGAACCTATACAACCTAAAATTGAATCGTTGAATCGAGCTGCACTGTTACAAGGATATATACCAAAATGAAGACCTGCGAGGTTGAAATATATGGTGACATCCCTTAAATAATGTTGAACCTAACCGTTACACCAATATGTTATGATATTTTAGGCCTTAATGGAAGTTAGAACTTAATGTACATGTGTGACACAAAACTGTTTTTAAAGGGGTGATTCTTTTGAACATCTTAGTGTTGCGGATTAGAGGATCTTTCTAATACTATAGTCTTTTAAAAAATACTGTAATTCCTTTTTATTAATAAATAAGCATTGTTTTTATAAATATAACAATACTGGCATTAACAGTCAGTTTTTTCCAATTCGATCGCCAATTTACCGAAGGGAAGCATATTTTGGTTTTTGAAGCAAAAGTTTTTCCTGTCAGTGACACACGCGAAAGCTTTTATTGTCTCTGAGAGTTTTGGTTTTTATTACAAAAAAAAAAAAAAAAACAAATAAAAAGAAATAAATAGAAATTTACTGTTTGTTACAGAATCATGCCGAAATTTTAAGTTTATGTTTGGGAAGTTTTTTATATGATCTGTTTCAGCACATCTACTTTTTGTTGGCGCAGAACCACATTCTTCAAATGTTCTCTCGACATTTTTTATTTTAAAAATTTGGAAATATTGTGTTTGCCACAATTTCTAATGTGCTGAAATGAAAAAATGCAAAAATTATGGAAAACACATTAAAACTTTTGGGAAAAGATGGAAAACTTACAGAGAATAAGATCTATTTTAAGAATTTTCTGCGCGAGATTTGCTTAATTGAGAATGTTAATATTTGCATCTAACTTGGGTGAGTAATGAGACTGTAATCTTTAAAATTATTTGAATTGCCAGGTACTGTAATAAGAAGACAATGGAATTGAAAAGTTTTATATGCAGCTACTAATAATTTTCCAGTTTAAAATACCCCCAGAAATTTAGCAAATTTCATTTTGGAATAAAGTTTTGTGCCCGTTGTAATTGAATTCCACTATTATTACATTAAACATTTTTCAAAAATTTAATAACATTTAACATAAAAATTGCTATGTACCTAAAATATTTATAAACGTCTGCATGTATGGAAGTTCGTATATGTGTGTGCCGAGTAATAACGACAACAGCTCGAAAAGAAAAACAAAGCACCTACTACACTTCAGTCAATATAGGAGTGGCCAAGCAGCAAACAACCAATCACAGCCCACTGAGTGTGGTGCCGTTACCAAACAAATGCAACAAACGAAGAGAGAGACACAGTGAAAACACACAAAGAGTATTTATCGAATGAGCAGACATGCCAAATACAACCACGCTACCATATCCGACTCACACACACACACACACACACATTTACATGGAGAGCTAAAGCCGTCTACGTTTGGCCACTGGTGCAGAAAATCCACGGAGCAATAACAAAAAATACACAAGTGAAAAAGAGACCTGTTATAGCGTCGAAATAGCTAATCACACCACTGCTATAGTTATGATGTACATAGTGGGCACATATATACACACAATATGTATGTGCGCTTATGTATGTGGGTATATGGTAAGAAACCATTGAAAACATAAACAAAAAGAAGACGATTACTGAAAAATGAGCGACTTTAACATTAAACTAATGTACAACTACATATATTTAAATTGGAAACTACCCACACACATGCAGTCACGTCAAATTATTTGACTCCATTTTTTTGAATAGCGAAACAACAGTTTGCGTGTCACGGGTATATAGGTATTAGACATAGGTATGTATATTACATTTTAAGACATGTCATTTACAACAATAAACTTTTATGTAAGATTCTAATGAAATAAACAAAGTTTGTGGGTACTAAAAATGAAATGGAAAAAAGAATCTGATTCCTATAGATTTTAGGACCATCAAGTTAGAACATTTAATTACCAAATATTTTAATTTCTGGCATAATCCAGTACAAAAAATTAATAAACTTTGTGGCACATAATCTATAGCTTAAGATAATATTTATGTAAAGGCGATACAGGTATTTTGAAGATTTTTATCCCAATTTCAAATGTTTGGACCCAATTTTTTACCATTTCAGTTGTAATTTGATATTTCGTTGATTAACACCCAATTTAAAGGATTTCGAAAGCAATCATTTCATTTCATAGTTTATTAAAGTTATGACAATTTAAAGTGTTAATCTTTGATGAGTTTTTGATGAAATAGGGTCGTATTTCGAAATATATTGTGTGTGACACATTTTGAATTTGAGGCAGAGTAAGGAACCATGTATTTGTTAATGAAAACTTAAATGTATATCATTGTGGAATTGAATTCTACACTAATTTCATTCCCCGGAATATCCATCTGGCGGATATACACTTTAGGATAGCAACACATCCAATCCAACTTTTTACATAAAAAGCTTGGATTTTTACATGAAGTAAATTATATACGAACCAATGGATGTATTCAAGAAGCAATTATTGTATGATCCAAATATTAAGACAAACTTGAACCCCTGTTATTCTACAAAAAACGAGAAATCAAACCTTTAATAGAATAAAGAAGGGCCAAGTTAATGATTTGATTCATAATTTCATTAAATGAGGATTCAATTCTAAGAGATGAAATCCCTCCAAAAATTTATAATTAAGTCCAAAATTCGAATTATCCAATTTTAGACTACGATGCTAGATTTTGAGAATAAATAAAAATTAAGTGTTAGTACAGATTGATCTTGTACATAGACCCTGTTTAACAAAAGATTTATTGTCAACAAAAAATACAATCCAACAACAATTTTTTTTAGTTTTTACCACAATCGAAGAGAATGTTCTTCATTCGCTATTCTAATTTTGATATTGCCTAAAATGAAAAACATATCAAAAAAGCCAAACGCATTACATGGTATGTTTCCTCCTACATGTTACATAAAAACGCACAGACTTAGTATCCCCTACCATAGTGGGGTGTAGCGTATAACAACCAATGGTTGCCCAATGGTTCTTAAAAATCAAGCTTGAAAATGCGGTGCAGCAAGTTTTTTTTATACCCGTGCTATGTGTGTGGTATGACTGACCTAAGAAATCCATAGCAAATCTAAGATCTAAAAGATTGCCTACGTAACTCCAAAGGGATTAAAATAATGAATTGTTTGGGGAATTTCGGTCGAACATGAAATGTCCCTTTTGTTTGTAATTATCATACCTTTGATTCCCCAGAAATAATAATTTTACACAAAACAAATTGCCATGTAATCTTCCTAAGGAGCATTGGAGCAGACTTGGTTCCACTTGAGTTTTGGGCGAAGGTGACAAATCACAACTCTGTTGTGTCACTTCGATCACAACAATTCTTCATAATGGCATGGACACGCTCATAAACCATTCGTCGTAACAAAGAAATCAATAGAGATGATTATTGATACCCAGCGAAATCAATCAAACTGAGTCCGAAAATGAACACCAACCAAGTACCTCTGTGAGTAAAAAATTGAATAATCATTTCGTATGTAAAA